AGGGATGTTTTTTTTTTTGATTTCTTCTTCTTCAGATTTATTGTTTGTGTATAGGAAGGCTACTGACTTTTGCGTGTTGATTTTGTATCCTGCCACTTTACTGAACTGACTGATGAGTTGAATTAGTTTTTCTGTGGAGATTTTGGGGTTCTCTATGTATATTATCATATCATCTGCAAATAGTGATAGTTTGACTTCTTCTTTTCCTATTTGGATTCCTTGGATGTCTTTCTCTTGTCTTATTGCTCTGGCTAGGACTTCCAGTATTATATTGAAAAGCAGTGGTGAGAGTGGACATCCTTGTCTTGTTCCAGATCTTAATGGAATTGCTTTCAGCTTTTCACCATTGAGAATGATACTGGCTGTTGGCTTGTCATAGATGGCCTTTATGATGTTGAGGTATGTTCCTTGTATCCCAAGAATTTCAAGGGCTTTTATCATGAATGGGTGTTGCACTTTGTCGAAAGCTTTCTCAGCATCTATTGATATTATCATATGGTTTTTATATTTCTTTTTGTTGATGTGTTGGATAACGTTGATTGATTTTCGGATGTTAAACCATCCTTGTGCCCCTGGAATGAATCCAACTTGGTCGTGGTGAATTATCTTATGGATACATTGTTGGATTCTGATAGCTAAAATTTTATTGAGGATTTTTGCATCAGTGTTCATTAGGGAGATTGGCCTGTAGTTTTCTTTTTTTGTGTTGTCCTTATTCGGTTTTGGTATTAGTGTAATATTGGCTTCATAGAACGTGTTTGGTATTGTCCCTTCCTTCTCAATTTTTTTGGAAGAGTTTGTGAAGGATAGGCACTAATTCGTCTCTGAATGTTTGGTAGAATTCATTTGTAAATCCATCAGGTCCTGGGCTTTTGTTTTTGGGGAGGTTTTTGATTACCATTTCAATTTCGCTGCTTGTAATTGGTCTGTTTAGGTGTTCTAATTCTTCTTTATCTAGCTTTGGGTGATTGTAGAGTTGTAGGAATTTGTCCATCTCCTCTAGATTGTTGAACTTGTTTCCATATAACTGTTCATAGTAGTTACTGATTATTCTTTTGATTTCTGCTGTGTCCGTTGTGATTTCTCCTCTTTCATTTATGATCCTGTGTATTTGTGCTTTCTCCCTTTTTTCCTTTGTGAGCCTAGCTAGGGGTTTGTCTATTTTATTTATTTTTTCAAAGAACCAGCTCTTGGTTTCATTGATCTTTTGGATTGTTTTTTTAGTTTCAATTTCATTTATTTCTGCTTTGGTTTTTATTATTTCTTTTCTTCTACTGGTTTGGAGTTTTTTTGTTGTTCTTTTTCTAGATCTTTGAGCTTCGAGATTAGGTTGTTTCTTTGAGTTCTTTCTTGTTTTTTGATGTGAGCTTCTATTGCTATATATTTTTTTCTTATTACTGCTTTTGCTGCATCCCATACATTTAGGATATTGGTGTCCTCCTTGTCATTCAATTCAAAGAATTTTTTAATTTCTTCCTTGATCTCCTCGTTAGTCCAGTGGTCTTCCAGTAGTGTGGTTTTTAATCTCCATGAGGTAGGATAGTTCCTTGCCTTCTTTTTATGGTTTATTTCTAGTTTGATGCCTTCGTGGTCAGAAAAGATGGTTGATATGATTTCAATCTTGGTGTATCTGTTGATGTTTGTCTTGTGCCCCAGTATGTGATCGATCCTGGAGAATGATCCGTGTGCGCTTGAGAAAAATGTGTACTCCGTTTTTTTGGGGTTTAGTGTTCTATAGATGTCTGTTAAGCCCAAATGCTCTAGGTCCTTATTTAGAGCTTTAGTTTCTTTACTTATTTTTTGTCTTGTTGATCTATCCATTGTTGATAGTGGTGTGTTGAAGTCTCCCACTACGTATGTGTTTTCTCTGATGTCTGTTTTTTTCAGAGAGGACAACAGTTGTCTGATATATTTTGGTGCTCTTTCTTTTGGTGAGTATATGTTAATGAGTGTTATTTCTTCTTGAAGTATTGTCCCCTTAATCATAATGTAGTGACCATTGGGGTCTCTTTTTATTTTTTTGAGTTTGAAGTCTGTTTTATCTGATATAAGTATAGCTGTTCCTGCTTTCTTTTTTGGCCCATTTGCTTGTAGGATTGTTTTCCATCCTTTGACTTTGAGCCTATTTTTATCTTTTGTAGCTAAATGTGTTTCCTGGAGACAGCAAAAGGTTGGGTTTTGTTTCTTAATCCAGGCTGCAACTCTGTGTCTTTTTATTGAAGAGTTTAGTCCATTTACATTTAGAGTTAATATTGATATGTTAGCATCTGTATTTGCCATTGTGTTTGTCTTTCCTTTGATTTTATTTATTTATTCTTTTAATAACTTTTTTTTTCTGGTCTTCTTTCGTTGTTATTCGTCCCTCTGAGGTTCTGGCTTTAGGATTCCTTGTAGTATTTTTTGGAGTGGGGGTTTAGTCGTAATGAAATTCCGGAGTTTCTCTTTGTCTGGGAAGGTCCATATTCTTTCTTCCTGGAGGAAAGAGAGCTTTGAGGGATAGAGTATTCTTGGTTGGCATCTGTTTTCTTGAAGTCTGTTGACTATGTCCCTCCACTCTCTCCTTGCCCGTAGTATTTCTTCAGAGAAGTCTGATGTCAGCCTGATTGGTTTTCCTTTGAATGTTATCTGTGTCTTCCCTCTTGTCAGCTTCATTATTTTTTCCTTGTCCTGGATTCTTGGGAGCTTTACTATTATGTGTCTTGCTGTGTTTTTCCTTTCGTCGTGGAAGTTTGGTGTTCTTCTTGCTTCTTGTATATCAATTTTCAGCTCCTTCTTCGCATTTGGGAAGTTCTCTTCAATTATCTCCTCGAATATTTTCTCTGTTCCTACATCTCTCTCCTCTCCTTCTGGAATTCCTATAACTCTTATATTTCCTTTCCTCATGGAGTCAGATAGTTCCCGAAGTCTTTCTTCATTCTTTTTCCTTCGTACTTCTCTTTCCTTTTCTGTTTTGGTTCTTTTTATTTCTGTGTCTTCAAGAGTACTTATTCGTTCTTCCATTTCATCTATTCTGCTTTCATTGCTTTTCCCAGAGTTCTTTAGTTCCTCCATTAATTCTTTGATCTCCTGCATTTCTTTTATTTCCCTCTTTAAGGACTCTATTTCCTTCTTCTGATCTATCACTTTTTTAATCATGGCAATTTTAAATTCTCTTTCTGGAAGGCTCAGAAGTTCTTCCAAGTTGCTGTCGTTGCAATCTGGGGAGTGGTTTCTTTTTGTGGTGTGCTTCTTTCCTGAGGAGTTGTTAGGTTGCGTGTGGTTCTTCTACTCCCTACTGTCTGTTTTCTAATTTGTCGTATGCATTGGGACACTGTGTTGCTCGGACTGACTGGCATCTTGGGTGAACTTCTCCGCTCCCCTCTGGCTCTTCCAGGAGCCATCTCTGTCTTCTGGGGGAGCTTTCTGCTGGTTTTAGGCAGTTTTTACTGAAGCAATGTCCCTGTTCTAAAATGGCGAAGCGGGATGCAGTCCCTGCGCCTCCCGTTTCAGGCACACTCTTCTGCGCCCCCGGTCTGCCCCGGACGTGGGTGCCTGCTCCCTCTGTGGGCTCAGACTGCTGGTCGGAAGGGGCCTGGTGTGGGGTGGGCTAACTTCCCGGCTGGCCACTGGTCCTCCAGAAGCCTTCTGCCCTTTTCAAGCAGTCTTAAGAAATTTCCTGTTCTATGGGGTGTTAGTGACTTTTTTTTCCTGGTCGCTAGGTGGCGCCAGAGATCTCTCCTATTGTCCTTGGGGGGCTGTTTTTCGCCCCCCCCCACCCCGTGGGACAGGGAACAGAGCGGGAATGGTAGGGTAAACCTCAACAGCTTTGGGGTGCTGTGTCTGCCTTGTGCCCCACCGTCGTGGGGAACCCACGCCCCTAATTTCGTGCCCCGGGTCTCAGTTCAAAGCCCTCAGGTCCAGGATGCGGGCTGTAGCCCAGTTCAGTGGCGCGGGAATGGCACCTTTTGCACTGTTCCCGTGCCTGGGCGCCTGTTTCCTGCTTACTCAGGGAGGGACCTTCACCTCAGTGAGGACCTCCGCGTGTCTCCCCGCAAGCCTAGGTCGCAGGCGCGGGGACCTGGGCCGCTGTGATCCCGGTCCGTGTTTTCTTTTCAGGCGCGCCAAGTGCACCGCTTTCCCGCGCAAGCTTACGGGCAGCCCGGGCTGTGTGTGCATCTCCCAGGGTCTTTGTTCTTCTCTAATGGCGCCCGGAGCCGTTTGCTCACCACCTCGGTGAATCCTGCAGGGTTCTCCACAGCTCCCGTTCACGGGGTGTGGTGGCTGCAATAGTTCCTTTCCACTCACAGTCCCTCTTGCTGTGTCGTTTGTTCTTGTTGGTCGTTTTGGTTTGTTGTTTCCCTCCTCTCTGCCGGTCGGAGAGTGCTGCCTCTGTGGGCGGGGGAGGGGAGCAGGGTTCTGCGCTTCCCTCCCTTCTGGTCCTCTTTTATGGCCACTTTCTTCTTCGGGTAGTTTGCTGGAGTCACCTGTTTATCTTCCGTGTCCCAGTTCTCACTGGGACCTGCCGCTTTTCCTCCCTATTAACTTTTTTTAATGGGAGATCTTACTCGCAGCGTCTCCTCGCCACCATGTTGCTCTGCCCCCTCTGTCATCTATTTCTTTCGATACTTGTGAATACTGACTGAGATAATTCATGAGGTGCTGAGCACACAGCTGGCACGTAGTAGATTCTATAAATGTTAGTCACTATCTTTTTCATTCTTATTTCCTTCCCCCTCATCTTTGAACTATATTAAGTTCCAATTCTAGGTTTCTAATTTCTCCATAAGGAAAATCTCTGCTGGTTTCAAGTTTTCCTTTAAGGCAATGTAGTTACTTCTGAGTATCGTTTGCAGAGTCTCTTCACATTCTAGCATTCTTCTTTAGGTGTTCATAATATTTCACTTTTGCTTCCAGAATTATAGTGCCTATTTTCTATGAGACACCATAATTTGTGACTGCTTCCTTTTTTTGCGTGGTACAAATTTTTGAGTATTAATACCCAAATCTGTGTTTCCTGACAGTTGGCAAATTTTCCCAGACTCTGCGAGGAAACAGAGAGGATTGTTGCTAACCACATCCGTGAGCGAGAAGGGAAGACAAAGGACCAGGTAAGGAGAGGCCATGGTGGGGGACAGGGTCCTTTTGGGCAGTGAAGATTTTCTCAAGGTTTTCTGGTGGTTTCCAGTGGTTGGCCTATCCCTGAATAGAAAAAAATAGCTGAGAATGCAAACCTGTTTATTCTTATTTATGAATTTTTATAGTACATATGTTACTATGCTATATTAACATCTGTATATCATTTATATTAGCAATATAAACAGATGTTAAAGACTTTATGAAGATAAAATTTAAAAAGTCATACTAGGAGTGCCATTATTTTTTTCTCAATGCTCCATGGATCATAATGTGTACCCCTAACACGTATGTACATGCCCCTTTGAAAACTTCTAATCCAGAATGAGATCACATTTTTCTCTTTAGGACAAAATTTTTTCTTAACTTTTAATGGACTCCTTAAATGCCATGAAAAATGTTCGGTGTTTTAATCTTTTTTTCCTGAGAATGGACAAAGCTATTTATCAACTTGTCTATGCAAACTATCATTGGAAAGAAAAAACATATAGGAACCGCTTAAAACAATTCTAATGATTTTGTTAATGTGTATGGTTTGTAGGGCATGGCCTTGAAATTCTCTTCTAAACTAGCACTGTGAATTAGAAGGATTCATTTCAAATGAAGATAATTGATTAAAAAGTTTAAGGACTTCATGAAATTTGTCTTCAATTTAAGTGGGGATTTTTTTTTTCTTAGTTCTAAAACATGATAATGGGAAACACAAAGGTTTTCAGATGCTCTTCTGTTCCAGGACACAGCTGGGAATGTGACAGCATGGAGAAGACACTGGACTTGGGCCATGTGTTCTCCACAAAATAACAGTTTGTTCTTGTGCAAATCACTTCTCTGGAATGTTGTTTTCTCATGTACAATGATGGGATGTTGGTCTATATTATGTCTGAAGTCACTGTAGATTAGAGTTCCATTCCTAGATCTGTGCTTTTCAGGTGAGTTGCAAAGGGGGAGGGAGAGAGAGAGAACTAGAAAAGAAGGAAGCTGAAACAGACCAGAGAGATACAGAAAGACCACAGGGAGAGAAACACATGCAACATGCAAGGGGTGTTGGTGGGTGGACTGGGGGTGGGAGGAGAAGGTAAAGAGATAGAGCAATAGAGGCCCAGCAGGTTGGGACACTTGTGAGTGACGCCGCTAACACCCACTTTTTGCTTGAGCTTTGCAATTCATAGCTACTACTTTTTATCATCATACTCTAGCAGTTAATTAACCTTTATTCATAGTTTACATTTGTTTTTCAATTTTCTCAGTCTTGGATAACCACAATAGCTAAAAGTGCAGAAAAACAGACTTTGTGACAAAGTAGAGATAAACAAATCTTTGTTACCTCATGAGCCAGTGAAATCAAGCTAAGGGCCAAATACATAGCCTGGAGGCCAGAGGCAACCTACCACATCCAATGTCAAAACTTAAGTGCTAGCATCAACTGCGCTCCTGACCTTAAGTAAATAAGACAACTGTTTTAATTTAGTGTCATTGTAAAATTCAGATGATGATATATTCTACTTAACTCTTAGGCATCCTATATAAAATAACATTGAGGAAAACGTAGTACAATTTTTATTTTAATTATATTTGTGTTCATATGTTAAGTCAGAACTTGTTTCATGGTTTTGTTTTACTAAAACTACATACTCAAACTGAGCGTTGTTAAGATTGTGGGTTCTCGACTTAGAGTCCCTGAGTTCACATCCAAACTACACAATTTCCTTTCTGTGAAAATGAAAAAGTTACTTGACATCTTTGAACTTCAGTGTCTGTGTCTTAAAGTAAGACAATAGTGAGAGCCACCTCATATATATTTTGTGAGGATGGAGTAAAATACTCTAAATACCGCTCTTAGTTCTTCATTAATCTTACTCGTTTCTATTTTTCTTCCTAAAAAGCTACGATACACAGTAGAGAGAAAGAATTGCCTTTTCTAATTTCAAGGGAAATTATCTTCCATCTCCAACTTTAATATAGTGATTAATTCATCCTTAAGTGGGAGATAAAGGATGGTATGAAATGTTCCCTCCTAAGTGTCCTTGTCAGGTAGCCTGGCCTGACAGTCAACTGCCTTTAGAAGCTGGTAGTTGTCACTTCCAATATGGATGTGGATGACACATTTTTGTTAGTGTGACCGTGTCAGTCTGTATGAATCTCACATGTGAGTCCTGAACTCTGTGAGTCTCTGGGCTATGTGGTATTTCTGAAGGACAGTCAGAGTGACCTGTTTCCTCATGCCTCTGTACCTTGAGGTGTTTTTGCAGTTCTTTTTTTTTTAAGAAATGGATTTATTACCAACGTCTGCTCTGGAAGCTTTGTTGCAAGGGGAGAAGGGGGAATTCTTCAAAATTAAAAATATCGAAACCATAGATTTGTCTGTGAGATTTTTTGTAAAACAAAAGTTTTTTAAACATCTCTGTGTGCCAGCTATTATTCCAGGTGCTTCCCCACATGTAATTGCATGTTGAAGCGGCTGACTTTGTGGGTGATTACTGCCCCAGGGGTGACTTTACTTTTCTTCAACTAAATATTCAATAACCCTGGGTGAAAAAGGCAGTGAGAAACTCTGAGAAAATGAAAAAATAAGGAAAAAATGTACTCTTTCCCTTTTCATCCCCCACATGCACCCTGGCTCTTTTCCTAGGATGAACACAGACTCCCAGTTTCCAGGAATATGAATGAGAACAGCCATAGTTTTTCTTTTTTTCCTACACTGCAGTCCAAGTTAATGTGTGTGAATGTCCAAGATATTCATAACAACCTTTGGCAATAGTGAGAATTATGTAGATGTTTTGCTTCTTATAGTGGCAGCAATTTATTTGTGCCTAAGTATTATGGTTTGTTGATACAAACCCCTGGACAAATGGATTTGGGAGTATAACATGGAACACTATCTGGCTTTGTTGTAGGGATGAAGAGGCAATAGATAATCTAATAATGATCTGTCCTCCTCCAGTTTTGTTCATTAAGAAATGAAACTAAACTATCTGGTCACATGAAACCTTTTCATACAAGTATGATGTTACTGATCCAATAATTCCTGTGCTTTGATTTCATGTTTGGTGGTGGGAATGGATTCGGGGCAATCTATTTACTTTCTTTTGGCAGGCCCCTTTGGGACTCACAGCAAGATTTTGTCAGATGACCAATTGAGATTATCTACAAAAGCAAAGCCTAAGAGCCTGTAGCATTGGATAGTAAATGAGAAGCAGCAATTAATGGCTGCATACTAGTTCTGTGGGCATACATTTCTCCCTTTAAGCAAACTGTTCTTCAATGCTGGTTAATAGTAATACTATCCACAGCTATTGATATTTATTGGGTACATGTTAAGTGTATCATGCTCTATTCTGGGGATAAAATGGTGAACAAAAGAAACATAAATCTTTACTCTTTGGTGCTTACAGTCTTGCAGGGAAGATAAACACTAAACAAAGATATATATAAATAACTAGTCACATTTGTGTAAACACCACATATAATATATAAAATGAAACAGTGGTATAAAGATTATAGGAGAGTAATATTATGATACCACCTGGTGCTGGGTGAGATTATTGGGTGAGGATCAGGAAAGGCTTTCTCAATGGAGTACCCACTGGGGAGCATTACAGAATGTCTCCAAACTGTTACCACAAGTGCTCTGAAGCACTCAAGTTCACAGTGAAGGGAGGTGGATGGCCTTCAGAGGTCTCTCAACAAAAGCAAAAGTGAAGAACACAGGAGGTCTCCAGGTAGGGATTCTACCAGCAAATCTCAGCATTTAGGAAAGTTGCGATAACAAAGGAAACTTCGGAAGTGGAGCTCAGCTTTGAGTGTCTGTGAAATAAACCGTTCTGCTTTTGGTTTCTCCACTCCATGACATTTTCTCTCTCAGCCTCCTGTCTCCCTTTGATGATTTTATGCATGGGGACCTTTCAAATTTCTAGGTTAGAGTTTTTAAGTATCTTATGACTAGTTCATTTTCATGTTTAGTGGAACATGTGTTTGATTCATTTCTTGATAAACCTGGTTGTATGTATTTGATGTTCCAGGCACTGTTCCAGGCACTGGGGAAAGAGCAGTGGATACAGCAGATAGGTTCTTTGTATAGAGTTATGTAAAAACTTACTATGTCTGCTAGGTGTAGTGCTACAAAGGAAAATAAGGCTGAGTAAGAGGGTAGAGAGTAACAGGAGTACTGATTTAGATAGAATGGCAAGGAGGATCACTTTAATGGGGGGATCTTTTTTTTTTTAAAGATTTATTTATTTATTTATTTATTTATTTATTTATTTATTTATTTATTTATTTATACATACAAGCACTGGGTACAGTCAGAAGCGTGGGAGGGTGAGAGAATTCACCAGAGCCAGAGCGGGGAGCAGAACAGGCAGACTGATGAAATACACTGCTGAGGGGAGCAGCGGGTGCGGCAGATGTCTGTGCACCATGTGGGATCAAACTGGAGCTACAGAAGCTGCTGGCAGCTTCGCAGCCCAGCGCTCAACTGCTGCGCCACTGGAGAGGCCTATGAGGGGATCTTTTAACAGAGACTGGCCTTGCTAAAATTTTGCTGTGATGATGAAGCCTATTGATCTCAAAGAGATAAAGTAATAACTTTTATTTGTTATTGCCATTTTGAGTTGGTTTTTGAGATTCATCTTCCCCAGAGGGAGTTTAAAGAGATAGATGAGGAAAAGAAAAACAAAGGATTACATGTCTTACAAATGGTATTTGCTGCTGGAGAAGGAAGCTCTGAGCAGCCCCCAACTGGCCTTCCTGCCACATGTCTTCTTGTGCACCCATGCCTTTCTTTAGAACATCATGCCTACTTTTTAGAGAAATTGAATATTTCTTGGTTCTATGTCGAGTATGTGTCTATATGCCTCAAAGCTTGCTGTCTTCATGCGGTGCTCACATTTACTTTTCTTGATGATTTTTAATTTGTGAATTTAAAAATAAAAATTAAGACTAATAACAAAATTAATGCAACTTTTCCTTCTATAAATAGCATCCTTTAGCATCCTTTAATAATTAAGTGAAGGGCCTCCTCAGTGGTGCAGCAGTTGAGCACTGGGTTGTGAAGCTGCCCGCAGGCTCTGCAGCGCCGGTTCGATCCCTGGCTGCCAGGCGAGGGTCCCACATGGCGCGCAGACCTCTCCTGCTGCCCACTGCTCTCCTCAGCAGTGTATTTCGGTCCTTCTGCTTGTTCTGCTCCCTACTCTGGCTCTGGTGAATTCTCTCACCCTCCCATGCTTCTGACTGTACTCAGTGCTTGTATAAATAAATAAATAAATCTTTAAAAAAATTAAGTGAAGATAAATCCGTTGTAGGTATTCACTGAAACTGGTGTTTGTGAATATTTTAGTTTTCACTGAAGTGTTTCTCTTTGACTTACAGGTGCTGTTGTTGATTGACATCCAAGTCTCCTATATCAACACCAATCATGAAGATTTCATTGGCTTTGCAAAGTACGTGAGTTACTGTATTCCTCTTGCTGGTTTGTTTAGAACAACATTGTGAATTCCTACTAACACCCACTATCATTTGAGGATCTATGGCATGATTAATTGGGTTCACCTAATTAGAAGAGCTGAATCTCATGACCAGGAGGCCATGTTCTCTTCATAAAGTAGTCACTTCCTTTATTATGTGGCATGTGAAATCTTATGTGTCTTAGATTCTCATTGCTTTTGGATGATGATCTGCAGTTTATACTTGAATTCCCAGAGATAAGCAGTAACACATGCACTCTTAAATATGTTTCGGAACAATTTCTCACATACATTTGAAATGCCAAGTACAATTCATATTGCAACATCCCTAAATCAGAAGATAAAGACCCATTAAAAAAAAAACTGTCCTTTGTGAACTTATATATAATATTTCTAAAGTGTATATATTTTTTGAAACATTGTTTATGTATTGTTTTTCTGTCTTAAATGTTTTATTATTCTGTTGCTATATCACAGATACTGTCATGTAGCCATTATGCTTAGGTGTTCATTGTTGGTTGATTATTCATTATATGATATTTTCAAGACACTGAACTCACAATTTTTCCTTGCCCATTAGTGGAATGAGTTTTTTTTCCCAAGAATTCTGATTTTAACTCTAAAATATATTTGTGGCTTACAAGTAGTTCTAGCTTCATATATTGTCTTATATGTATTTCACATATATACTTCAGATACTGACATTTAGTTTTATATCTAAAAGACTATAAAATAGTCTTTTATATAAAATGCAAACTAAATGGACCTGTAGGCTTTTACCTGAACCATGATTCACGAATAGTGACAAATTAAAAGTGAAATCCAACAATATATCAAACTAACTTATTTAATTACACCCTCATGTATAAGAAGCAGATATGTAGATCATGTGATCTCAACTAAACTGTAAATTGCCTGAGTAGTTTATAGGACTGTTTTATGGAGGAAATGCACAATGTGCCACAAGAAAACTGTCCAGTTCTCAACATGGCTGTGGTTGTGATGGCTTAATCAGTGCTGCACATCTCTTTTTGCATCTACCGGCTATTGGTATTGTATGGTGCATAGTTTTTCCTGACAGTTTTCTTTCTGTAACATGTGTGTACACTTATTAGAGTGCAGTTCCTTTGCTCAGGTGTCTTTTAGGCCACACTGCCTACTCCAACTTCGAGATGGGTATTTGCTTCACAGCCATTTCACACGGACCTGTTCCCTTTTTTGTAGCTGCCGTGAATCCTACCACTTGCACTGCTCTCTACCTCCTGCAATATAAAATACATGTACTTTAAAAAACCCACACCACCCCTCCTTTCTTCTTATTAATGAACATGTTTTCCCTCAGTTGCTAGTTGTTTAATGGGAGGCTGACTGGTAAGTGTTGACTCTTATCTATCTTCCTTCTCCTAAGTTTCACTTCTGCCTTGATTCTCATATGCCTCCTGTCCGTAGGCTTGGAGAGGGGACCTGGGAATTTCTGTCTGTTTTTCAGCTCAGTCTGTGAACTCCAATGTGGCCTGTGCCAAACTCAGCTCTAGTTGCTATGGGGGAAAAAAATAAAAGAGAAAAATTGTTTTCGTCTTTTAGGAGCTTGCTTGATCATTGAAGAGTATAAAGAAACACATGTAAAAATTTAAACTGACACATTCTCCATTAACTTCACTTGTTTCTTTGAGGAATTTAAAAGAAAAACAAAGTCTTGAGTCACTTGAAATAACAGGAATGCTGCCTTTAATGTTGACTTTTATTGATTACAAATGCTGGTTAGGTTCTGATCAAAATGTAGCACATGTTGATGTAAAATTGACACGATAACTTAAAGTGAAAAGGATGTTACAACATTGTCTTGTGGTATCCTGGTGAAAGGAGGAAGTGGACAAGTCAAAATCAGCTTGAAAAGAGTCAGGTTTTGAACATGTTGGGTAACCAGTACAACAATTTACTCTTTTCTTTTCTTTTCTTTTCTTTTCTTTTCTTTTCTTTTCTTTTCTTTTCTTTTCTTTTCTTTTCTTTTCTTTTCTTTTCTTTTCTTTTCTTTTCTTTTCTTTTCCTTTTCTTCTCTTCTCTTCTCTTCTCTTTTCTTCTCTTTTTTTCTCTCTTTCTATATATTTTTTACATCATTTTTCATTTTTGCACAATGTATGCATTTTCATCTTGGTTATATTCCCCATACATTTCCTAACCCCCTTATTTTGACCCTACTCTCTCCTCCCCACCACCCCGCAATTTAAATTTCATCCATACTCTTTTTGAAATCTTTTTTCTCAAATTACCCCTTTATTTTAAAGGTAAATGGCCCAGAGTTTATTTCTTCCCCAGCAAATTTAATTTTTTTTTTATCTCAAAAGCTGTTTGACTACAGTATTATATTGATAGGTTTCCAAAGAATCCTGTACATGTAAAATGCTTTCAAACACAGCCTTTTGATGTAGTCTCTCTCTTTAACTGCCAGATGATTGCCCCATTTTTCTAGCAGTAAGTTAGACCTTTATGATGTTGGGAGAAAAAAGAAGCATTGTTCAGACTGCTTTAGAAATCCAGCAACCTTGCACATTTCCCATCTAATTGAAACTGCTCACCTAACCTTCCTTCTAAGGGATAGTCTGGAAAGTATCAGCAGTCTGGGTTCTTTTTCTAGAAATTGCCACTGATGAGCAATGGTTTTGTTCAAGTCCCTTAGCCTTTCTGTATGTCAGTATACTGCTTTATCAAATGGAATCATAAATAATCCCTATCTTGTGTGCCTTTCAGGATTGTTGGAGGATCAAAATAATCAAGTTTTGTGAAATACTTCTCTGTAAAAGTGAGAAACTATCATACAGACATACACACACACATGAATTTGATTACTACATGCAGTGTTTTGCTTTGCTATGAATTTTATAGTGACTGGAATATGATTGTCACTGGAATACTTATTAGTTGCTGATATTATCTCCAAATGTAACATTTCACACTGAGACTTGGAGGTAAATGTTCTTTCCATTTGTATGCTGAGTTGAAATACTTTCAGTGTGACATGGGATAATTATGATGATGAAGAAATGTTCACTTCAAAATCACTTTGAGGGTTGTGGTATTTTTTGTGCTTTTAAAAATTAAAAAAATATGGTGGTAGCTATAAATTCTAAAATTGGCAGGGATGTTGTTTCCATCAAGGAAGAAAATTCAAGCTGTATTTGAAGATAATTATGTAAGTATTTTTAAGTTCCAAAGATAGAAAATTACGATCTGGATATGAGGAAAATAACATTTGTTTCATGGGACTTTTTGAGTTGCCAAAAAAAGTGGGACTCCCTCTCAGATTTATAGGATGGTGATATACATAGTTTTTTATGCATGTATTTTTTTCATCTAAGACAACCTTTTGTTCCAAAAAAATATATATAAAATTAGATTAATGGAATATTAAGTCTCAGAATAGTGTTCAGGTCATCTAAAAAATGTTCTTTTTGCTATAGAATTAATTTTGCCATGTTGAATATATAGCACTTTTTTTCATCTCCCAGCTATTTGTTAAACATGGACCATAAAATATGTACCATGTGTAATGTGCCCAACTAAGCATGGCTGTAGGCTTACTTTTGGAATTTCCTGACTTTTAAAAGCTTGATCTTTCAACTATAACATAGTTTCCAAATCTAAAATTCCACTATTCTAGAAGGAAGCGTCAACTTTCCTTATGCTTATGGATTTTACTTTGTCTTTCTTCGCCATTAAGAAAACACCCTATATTTTATATTTTTTTACTCACTATAACTACTTTATGCAATTAAAAAAAAAAAGCTAGTTCCTTCACTCACTTCCCTAATTTCCTCAGAAATTTTGTTGTTTGAGCAGAAAGGCAAGTTTATTAGGTGAACTTTTAAATTCTTGTGCTTGTCTCCATTTGTTCCATGGGCATAGTTTGCCTTGTGAGTGCTAAGATTTATGCATTTCAATGGTTTAAGAGAATGATAGGTCCAGATTCAGACCTTTAGAGCGATATCTCTATGCCACAGCAGTAGACCAAGGTCTGTTTTTCAATCTGTTGAGTAGGACTCAACACCTGTTTTCTCACAGTTGAAATGATACAGTGTGCAGATTTCAATTCTTGTTATATGAGCACCATGAAAATTCTATGGATTGTAACATTCATTATATCTCTTCCCTGATCTTCTGGAATGCTTCTGTTGCCATTTTGCTACAAGCAGTGTATGTGAACCTTGATACCAAATTCCAGAACAATCTTGGTCTTTCTCTTTGTATTCTTCTTTTATTTTCTCCTAATACATGGCCATATTCTGCTATAATAGTGTTTCCATTTATTTTGTTATCTCTGTTGTGGAATTGAAATCTATATATTAGATTATAACAAGAGTCTTCTTTTCACTCATGTGAACCTAGGAATTACATGTTCACTTGCTTGCTGGGACTGTTGTCAGGCAGAAAGATAGGGTTGAACAACTTGCCTTTGTTATTTATTAGGATCATGTAGTCAGATAAATTATAAATTCAAATATTCCAAGCACCATTTCAAAAGTGGACTTCCACTTTTCTCTTTCATTCTTGTCTCTGTTATTTTGGACTTTATCTTCATCTTTAAGCTGAATCTTACAAGATAGGTATCCTTCTTTTATAAGCCCCCAAAATTCTGTAGGTTTTTCTTGTACAATACTTAGTCTGAGACTTCACTAAAGATCCTTCAGGGTATATTAACATAACGTAGTTTTTCTCCCCCCTTTGGCTTCAATCTGTTTGGATGGTTCCAGACTGACCTGTGATAAGACACACTCTAGGGACTCTCAATAAGTGTTCATAATCTTCTTGGGTAATATAAAAGAGTATTCTAAAAAAGTTTATTTACTCCAGAGCATTTCAATAGAACTTTTTGAGCTGATGGAACTATTTTATAATCTGTGCTGTCCAATACAGAAGCCAACAGCTGCATGTAACTCTTAAATAGATGCGACTGTTAAATACAGGAAATGTGGCAAGTA